AGTCCTGCCTTACTAACACAACTGCCACCCATCCTCCCTCATTAACATCATAGAGGCAGGATTTACAACATATAGGAAAATCACACAATACCAGGAATCATGGCCCAGCCAAATTGATACACACATTTTTGCGGGGATATAATTCAATTCATGACAGCTTCCTAAGTAGTATTCCTGTTTCTGCCCTTGCCCAATCCTTCACCAGTCTATTATCAACACAGCAGTCAGAAAAGTATTAATGGCAAAATGTAAATCAGATCATGTCACTCCACTGCCCAAAGCCCACCAAAGACTTCCCATCTCACTAAGAGTAAAAACTAAGGTCCTACAAAGGACGACCAGCATTAGTATCACCTGGGTGCTTACCAGAAATGGGCTCCACTCCAGAGCTACAAAATTAGAATCTGAATTTTAACAAGATCCCCAAAGGTAATTCATATGCACATTAAGTTTAAAAAGCACTTCCATAAACCACCACAAAATATGCACCCACCCTCCCCTACCCTTGCCATTCATCAAACATGCCAGGCATGCATCTGTCTCAGGGCCTGCCTTTGCACCTGCCATTCCCTATACCTGGAATGCTCTTCTATGTCTGCATGGCTCATCCTCTCACCTCTTTCAAGCCTTTCCTCAAACATCACTGTATCTATGAGGCCATCTGTGACCACCCAATCCCTACTCTCAATATGCCCTATTCCCCACTTTTCTGCTTTATTTTTCTTTTTAGAAATCGTCACCATCTAACAAATCATTTATTTTGTTTACTCAGTCTCCTCATATAATACATAATGTAAGCTCTATGAAGACACAGATTTTTGTCTGTTTTCTTCCCCAGTGTCCAGAACACAGAAAGCATTCAATAAATATTTTTAAATGAATAAAACAATAAACAAATGAGTTTTCTCTTTAAAACACTATCCAACAGATCTTATAAAATGGCTCCTTGCCACAGAAATTGACTTTTTCAGCATTAAATTTAACAAGTCCACTTTTTAAAATATACTGAGCACCTACTATGTAATTCAAAACCAAACAGAAAACCAGTTGCCTTCGGTCAGTTCTGACTCACGGAGATGCCATGTGTTAGGAACTATAAAAACCACTATTCATCTATGATTAAGTACAGAGGTTTAAACACATGATTCATGATGGTAATGTACAATCAAAAGTTTGCAGATACATTTAAGAGACATAAAAATAAAAATTTTAAGTGACTGAAGGAACAGATATGCCTACAATTCTCTACAATACAATAACAGTCCTCTTTATGGACAAAATAGTTTTTCACACAAATTTTCTCATCTGATCCTCAACAACCCCATAAGGTGTGTAAAGCAAGTAACAATAAGCCCCATTTTAGAAGTGAGAAAACATATACTTTAAGTATCAAAGCATGGCATTAATAATATCAGAACTGGTCACACACAAAAAGTAACAATCTTTGTTGGTTACCAGGGATGGGGGGGTGAGGGGGAAATACTAAATAGGCAATAGATAAGCGGTATCTTGGGTGAAGGGTGAAACAGTATACAATACTGGGGAAACCAGCACAACATGTACAAGGAAAGGTCATTGAAGCTCCATAGACACATCCAAACTCCCTGACGGACTGAACTGCTGGGCGGAGGGCTGTGGGGACCATGGTCTTGGGGAACATCTAGCTCAACTGGCATAACACAGTTTATGAAGACAATGTTCTACATTCTACCTTGGTAAGTAGCATCTGGGGTCTTCAAAGTCTGTGAGCAGCCATCTAAGATACTCCACTGGTCTCATCCCTTCGGGAGCAAGGGAGAATGAAGA